TTTCCCTTCATCTATCCACAATTAATTATGCACGTTTTAGGTCATGTATTTTTTTTAGCTTTACTGACCGTCATAATTTGTGGAAGGTTTTAAATTTTAGCTTACTATTTTTTTTCCCGAATATAGCAAAAATAGAAAACCAATAAAAAATTCAGAGGTAATTCCTGTGTTCCATTTTCTGAAATCCAAACTTGTACATTCTGTGATTGATCGATGGAGAAGAGAGAATTGCTTTCACAGATGATGGCAGGAGAAGTGATAAAGTTTCTCCGCATTTAGAGAGAGAGGGAAAGAAAATTGTTTTGTTTTGTGTTCTTGGGAGATAATAATAATAAAAAAAAGAAAAAAAGATGGAGAGTTTCTCTGAAACGGATCACGAGGAGGTGGTGGCGAAGATGACGTCGGAGATTGGGGAGAGTTTTGAGGATGAAGGGTTGGTTTCAAGTTCCACATTGGAGAAAGTTGCTGCAGCGAAGAAGTATATAGAGGACCATTATAATAAACGCATGAGACACATCCAACAACGTAAAGAAAGGTGGAAACTTGTTTGTTAAATATTCCTGAGAGAATAACAATGCGGTTTTCTCAATGGAAATGTTTTTTTTTTTGTTCGTTTGATGTGCAGGCGTTTGGTGCTGGAACAAAAGATAGCATCTTTAGATGTGTCAGAGAAAGAACAACTCGAGTTGCTTGAGGATTTGCAGAGGAAAGAGACTGAGTATACTAGGTTGATGAGGAACAGGCTTTGCGTTGATGATTTTGATCTTCTCAGTATTATTGGCAGAGGGGCTTTCGGTGAGGTTAGTCTTTTTGGAACTTCCAACACTTGGAGCAGTTAGGGCAGTTTGTTTATTTTGTAAATGTGGTGTCTTTGTTAGGTAAGGCTATGCCGTGAGAAAAAGACTGGCAACATTTATGCCATGAAGAAGCTGAAGAAGTCTGAAATGCTTAGTAGGGGGCAAGTGAGTCTTACAATGATCTCATTTACATAATATACGGAATACATTGAGTCTAAGATGCCCTTTTGGTTGATCGTTTTAAATAGGTTGAGCATGTTAGAGCCGAGAGGAACTTGCTAGCAGAAGTTGCTAGTGATTGTATTGTCAAGCTTTATTATTCGTTCCAAGATCCAGAGTACTTGTACCTTATCATGGAGTATTTGTCTGGTGGTGATGTGATGACTTTGCTTATGAGGGAAGAGACTTTGACTGAGACTGTGGCTCGGTTTTACATTGCACAAAGTATTTTGGCTATTGAGTCCATACATAAGCATAACTATGTTCACAGGTTGGTTCCGGGTCTCATTAATTAAGATGAATGCAGCGTTAAACTGGATGTACATATTGAAGATAGATATTTTGTAGGGATATAAAACCAGACAATCTTCTGTTGGATAAGAATGGTCATATGAAGCTGTCAGATTTTGGTCTTTGTAAGCCTCTCGATTGTAGAAACATTTCGGCTATGAACGTAAATGAACCTTTGAATGATGAGAATACAAATGAATCAATCGATGTTGATGAGAACTGCTCGATAGGACGCCGTGGAAGGCGTTGGAAGAGCCCATTGGAACAGCTGCAGCATTGGCAGATAAACAGAAGAAAACTGGTTTAGAACCAAACTCTGTTTTATTCCTTTTTATGAATGTCATCTTTTATTCATATCACATTTTGGGAGTGCCTTAACTGCTTCTTTGTATTTTGCCTGCACTTGTTTCTAAACAGGCATATTCAACTGTTGGAACCCCTGATTATATTGCGCCTGAAGTGTTGCTGAAGAAGGGATACGGTGTAGAGTGTGACTGGTGGGTCACTGAAAATATCTTTAGATTATTCTCCGTAGAACTATCCGTTTTGCTTCATAACTCAAGGAGCATCTACTAGGTGATTGATATGCTTCTAATTCCATTCGTCGACTCATACACATTCATTTAACAACAGGTGGTCTTTGGGAGCCATTATGTATGAGATGCTCGTTGGTTATCCCCCATTCTACTCTGATGACCCCGTAACAACATGTAGAAAGGTCTCTTTGATACTATATTACGTAATTCACTTTGTTCTTTAAGAAGGATACTACTGATGCTGAGATAGTTATAAATGGAGGACGTGTTAAACATTTCCAGTTGCTTTGCTCTATTACTGTCAAGATCTTGGCATACTTTCTTTATCTCCAACATTAATTGACGTTTCTGTGCATTATCCCAATGTTTTGCATAATGGGTTTTAGATTGTGAGCTGGAGAACTCAACTCGTGTTCCCAGAGGATGCAAGGTTGACACCTGAGGCACGAGATCTCATTTGTAGCTTGCTTTGTGATTCTGACCATAGGCTTGGTTCCCATGGAGCCGGAGCCGAGCAAATCAAAGTATGTAAATATAATATAAAATACACTGTTTATGCTTCTCTTGTCTTTATCTTTGTTTGTTACGTCCATATTTTGACAAAACAAGACACATCATCTAGGCTCATCCTTGGTTTAAAGATGTGGAATGGGAAAAGCTATACGAGATGGATGCAGCTTTCAAGCCAGTGGTCAATGGAGAACTTGATACCCAAAATTTCATGAAATTCGATGAGGTAAAATAAACCATCATCTCAGGGATTATAAAGTTCTTATCATCTCTTTTAATTGAGGCATCACTATCATCTTCTGGTTCTTCCTTAGGTGGATTGTCCAAAACCAACAAGAACAGGATCTGGACCATCATGGAAGGTACCAACAATTCTATGGACAATCGTATTTGCTTATTCCGAGGCTCTTGCTCTCTACTTACCAGACCTTTGTCCTCTGTTTGTAGGTGAGCATAACCCCTCAGAATATCAATTTTGTGGGATATACATACAGAAACTTCGACGCTGTCCGTGGCGGCTCTCGCCATTCTTTAGGTGCTAACTCTTCTTCTTTGTTTTCTGATTAACACAACTTATCTTGTGCATTGTCGAGCTCCGCTTTTCATAGTTTATTGAAACATATGAATGACAGATATCAAGGGAAGCCTTTCGCCACCACGTTCGTCAACTGACTCCACCCGAAGTGAGCCTTGTTATTACTATAGCACTAACACGTTTCCAAAGAATATGCTTTTGACTAAGTTTACATGCCTTAACTTCATTTTAAATCTCAGGTGACTCTGCCATTGATTACGCAAAACTCTCTACCGTGGTGGATGCTTCAGAACAATGACTCAATCAAAAGTCATTGTCTTCTTCTTCTACAAAAAAAGTCCTTGTGTTTTCTTGGTCCATTGAACTCTTTTTGTTTCTTCTCAATGTACAGTCATAATTGCTTGCAGTTGCATAGAGAAGAGAAGATGTTGAGGAATCTCTCTTCTTCTTCTGCAGCTAATATTCTATCTTTCTTTCTTTTTTTTTAAAAAAAATTACCAGCTATTTATATTAGGGGTGGGCACAAACCGAATATTCAGTATTTTTGATATATTTAGTACTCGGCTTGACTTATACAAGTAGTGAATATTTCGACTTATATTTGGTTTGTTAAAACCAAGTACTTATATTTTCAAATACTTGGAAAAAAATTGACAGACTTGTAAGTTATTTGCTTTGTTTTATTACTTTTTACTTTTAAATTACTTACAAATTCATTCATAATTATTGGTAAATTATTTGATAATTATTAGAATTTAAAATTAAATAAATTAATTATATAAATATATGTCATTGTTTTCTTGTATTTAAGTCATTCAGAAAATAAACTAGATAAAAAAGAAAAAAAAAAGAAAAATGTTTATAGCATGGTCCATAAACAATGTCTTGCACAGTTTTTGAAATAGTGATCTCACATATTAGATTCCATATATTAATGATTTAACTTTTTTCTTAATCATTTTAAATGACAATGAAAGTGTACTATTAATCAGGAATGTAAAAAATACTCACTTAGCAACTCCGAAAAAAAAAATTACTTACAAATCTACTCTGCTTCCAAAATTATAAAAGTGCAACTAATTATTGTTAAAATGATTAACCATTAAAACAAAATGATTTTTTATGTCTTTCATTTATAAAATATAGTTTCAAAACAAAAAAAGGTATTTAAAATCTTACCTAGAACTATAATTTACGAAAAAAGAGAAGTTGGAGAATAGAAAACTTACTAATCAAAAACCTTCACCTTATAAATTTAAAATATAATATTAAACTATAATAACTTTTATCTTAAAAAACTGAAATATAGTTCATATTTAAAGCATAAAAAATCTAGTTAAGTTAATAGTAAAACTCTCTCTCTCTCTCTCTCAAAGTTTTACTAATTAAAAATTGACTTCATTAATTAATTAAACCAAATTTCATAGTTTATACTATATAATAATTTGCTTCGTACATGTGGTAGGGTGAAACATATATTTGAGATCTGCGCCTTGCGCAAGATGAAAAAATGTACAAAATACTTATGGTAAATTGAAATACTAAGTATATAAAATTTTAATATAATATATAATCTAAATTAAACGACATTACAATATTATTCATTTTATGTTTTTAGTTTGAAAATTTATCAGATGAAATTGTATATTCGTTTGGTTTTATGATCACTTCTATTTATATAATAAAATAATTTACACTATTAGGCACAAAATTTTAAGTGTGGAACTAATATTTTTTTGTATAATTTACTTGTTTTTTAAATTTAAAATATAACATATACAAAAAAACTTAGTGTTCATTATATGATTAATGTGATTGGTTAATAAATTTTAATAATATAAATATAAAACACTTGTAGAGCATAAGTAAATTGTTGTCAATTTTTTATTATTTAAATAATTAATTGACATATATATATATATATATATATGTAATTATATTAGTTAATTCTGTATATTTTATTTAGAAAATGAGATTTTTGATAAATTACTAATTAATTTTATGGTTTAGTGAAAAGTATAGTATATGTTGCTATTAGACTAAGACATGTATTATAATTATTTTATAAACACATATTACAATACTAAAGCATTCATTTCCAAAGCATTCTTCTTACTTTACCAGAGTGACGAATGCTTCACCGTACATACAATTTCCGGCGAAAGCCTCCGTCGCCAGCTCATCATCTCCGACGTCAGAGTATCCCTCACTCGGCCTAATAATCACAAGCGTCGCGGACTCTAAACATATACCACTCTTAAGCTTCAACAACGGCGCGTGTCTCATGCTCATCCTCAGGCTCGGGACCACACTCTTATTCATTTTCTCCACGCGCTCATCGACTTCTCCCTCACGCGCCGCCACCATCTTTCGAAACTCTCTTAATCCCTCCTTTCCCATCACCAACGTCCCTTCTCCTCCTCTGTCATAAATCACCAAACTCTCCATCTCCTCGTGCTCCTTCACGACTTCGCTCATCACGATCAACGCGCTTATGATCCACTCCACGCACGTTTTTATCTCAGTCTCGAACTCGAACTCCGCGTCGGAAGATGCAGCAGGAGAAGACACCATGGAGGCGGAACGAAACGCGAAGAAGGTGCATGTCTCGAGAGTTTTACCGCACTCTGCTCTCCACTCGACGGCGGCGCCTTTCTCGAGGCCGAGGCTTGCGTCGTTGCCGGGAAGCACGACTTCAAGGTTCTTGATCCGGTCAAACGAGGAGAGAATCTTGGATAGGATACTCGGAGAAAGATTCTTGAATGTGATTGGTTTAGAGAATCGAGAGAGATAAGCGCGAGATGAGTTGACTAAGGATGTGAAAATGCTGCGGACAGGAGAACCGGGTTTTGACTCGGTGGTGATGACCTGCTCGAGTCGGAGAATGAGTGACTCGGACTGAGGAACAAGTGAATTGAATCGTTTTGAGAGGGAACTACAACGAAGTAGGGTTTTGACATCACATACTTTGTTCAAGATATCAACAATGATCGCATCTGGAAGTCCATCAAAAACGTCCATCTTTGTTATTTTTTAGTTTCTCTCTCTCTGTTTCTTCTTCTCTTACGCTTTGTTTCTGTTATGATGTCTGCTTCGAGTTTTGGGAAGAGTTTAAATAAGGAAAAGGGGAGACGAACCTACCGGCTGTTGGTACCTACTTTGACGTCTTTTAATGCTAGTTTTCATCGGTAGCAAACGTGTTCGTTCCCTAATGAAAATATGATGGTTGAATGATAGATAGAGGGTCCCACATGCTTTATATTTGATGTTATTTATTTATTAATTCATGATCTTTAAGTTGAAAACTCGTAGAGAAAGTATATCAATTGATTACACATCTCCTTACTCCTTAGAGATTAGTAGATTTGTGAGGGTTCTTCAATAAATTCGGGGAACGTGGCGTCGAAGGCAGTCGTCCATGGCTCCTTTGGCAACCGTTCCTTGTGTTCGTTTGGCTTTGGAGACTTCCGGCGCTGTAGGTGATTGTGCAGATGGATTTAGAGCGATCTTCACAGGTTTATGTTCTAATCCTATCATCTTCAGCATCTGAGCGTTTACCGGCAGAGGGGTGATTATAGATTCTGAGGCGTTCACTAGATGCTAGCTACTCCGGAGATTGCACGGATATTCCCGGCATCCGAGGTAACGAGGAGAACCTCACGTAACCGTGGTTATATCAAAGGTAGAGAACGGTATCCGGTATCCTAGAAAGTTCGAGAGCGGGTTAGTGGAACGTGCCGGGTTTGGTGGGTGGGCGAAACTAGCTTTGAACTTGAAATTTTTTTTGGGATATTTTGTTCAAATCGATCTTGTAATCACTTTCTGAATTCCCGTTTAACGGGTGGATTAATATATTTCAGTTAGAAAAAAAAAAAAAATTCGGGGTATACCTAGATTAATTAAAAAAATTAGTTGCATAAGTTTGTTTTATGTTTTCTTCTTTGCATTTAAACTTTTTTTAACTATTTCGTTGTCAGACAATGTTAACCATCAAATCAGTAAATTGTTTATACATATATATTACATAATGTGATGGTTAACGTTGATGATCAAAGTATCCATCATTTTAAAGGTGTCCAATTTTAAGTATTGGAGTCCGCCATTTTTGTGCCTATGGGGAAATGGTTGAGCTAAACTCCGCACTAACAAGCTTAATGTTAAGAGATAAAAGACAATAATAAGGGATGTTGTATAATATTATATTTTTTCTAAGAACAAAAGCTTTTTGGTAATCATGTAACATGTATGAACCATTTTTCCATCTTCTAAACCCCATGTTTATATAGGCCATGTTTGTTTAGGTGTTGTGAGATCTGCGACTTGTGATTAAGATTATGTTGGTTTATGTATCGACCGATCTGCGATTTGCGACATGCGACTAAACCTACAACATGCAACTAAAATCATGTTCATTTACATATTGTGTGACTTGCGACCTGCGATCTGCTACTAATTGCACGACCAATTATTTTTTTATATTTTTTTTGTCATTATCTTTTCGAGCAACTCGAAATCGGATCCTGCGATTAGTCATACAAATCAGATCCTGATATTAGTCACACGATATGAAAGCGAACAATAACATACGACATGTAACATGTGATCAGTCGCATGTCGCAAATTGCATGACAACAAAACGATAAGATGATCCGAAAATAGACTGACTAGGCGGCAACTTGTATTAGAATTTTCATCTTATTCTCCCTGTTGTTTACCGACTAGTCTGTACCACATCTTCGGTTAAGCTCTCTAAGCACCGGATATACTCTTTGTACTCCCCCTTTGATTTTAAATAAAAATCCTTTTTTTTACTCGTACTCGTGCGCACCTTCGTAATAACCCACCGACGAGTCCAGTCACTCACTTTACTGATACACGATCGAACTCGGTACGAACAAGGATGATAGATCGCTTTGGAAGCAGAATGATGATTACTATAAGGAGGTGTTTAATTCAAAGGTGACTTGGAATCAGCTAAGAGTTAAAAATCCGGAAGTGGTTTGGAAGGATGATGTCTGGTTTAAGTACTCGACACCTAAATACTCCTTTTTCACTTGGCTGGCAATTCTTAATAGACTGTCCACTGGTGATAGGATGGTTAAATGAGATGCTACTGTGAACCCGATATGTGTACTATGCAAAGAAGATACCGAGATAAGAGATCATCTATTCTTTCAGTGTGTTTTCTCTAAGAGGTCTGGAAGGAGGTTATTGGAAGCCTGTCATGAAACAAATACGAGGAAGAATGGAGAAATTTGCTAACTCTTTTGGTTGATAAAGGTCGAGCAAAGATGGACATATTTCTTATTCGCTATGCGTTTCAAGTTGCGATTTATAGTCTTTGGAGGGAGAGAAATGGTAGGAGGCATGGTGAAGACCCGAAAGATGTTCAGATACTGGTGAAATGTATAGACAAAGAAGCTAAAAACAAGTTATCCACAATCAGAGAGATGGGGGATAGAAAGTATGAAGGAGGGTATCAAAAGTGGCTAGCCACAAGATATTAGAGAAAGGAATAGATTTTGAAATAGAGTTTACTTCTGTATAAAGTTTATGCAAAGTTGTTGAAACAGTCTTTTTCTTTTTTGAATGAATTTAACATTTCTTCAAAAACAAAAAATATATGAGCTGATTTTACATAAATATCTCAATGTTGTTTTAGGCTCACTTATCTTTCTATTTTTGTATTTCACCTTCTACTAAGGGTTCTTTGTTTTTGTTTTTTAACTTTCAGTGTTGCTCTTGTTTAATATCTGCAGACATAATACTTTGATAGTTAGACTTTTAACTTTCCTTGGAATCCCTACATTATTCTGCTTAGTTTTAGAAACACTATATATCTGTCGTTCAAAAAAAAAAAAAAAAAAGAAACACTATATATCTACGGTGAACCAGAGGTCTCCAAAGGAATATCCTTCCATGCATCATTTATCTACGGTGAACCGGAGGTCGCCAATAGGAGTGATACTTGGGATTCATTGTCAAACACGTTCTCGGGCCGATCATCCCCCTCGTTTATGACATGGGATCTCAATGAAATAATTGAAAATGGGGAAAAATCAGGTGGACCTCTAAGAGCTGAAGGAACATTTGGAGCTTTCAGGAATTTTTTGGCGATACATGATCTGTTTGAGTTAAAACATTCCGGGGACTTTTAATCTTGGAGAGGCAAACGGGGTAACCACCTAGTTTACTGCAGGCTGGACATAGCCTTAGTTAACAGCAGTGTTAGTGTCAAAATCGGTCACGACGGAATCAATGGCTAAAAGTCTCCGCAAAAGTACAAATAAAAATTCCTTTTATAAAACTCGAGAAATCGTTTTATAAAACTCGAGAAGTCGTTTTATAAAACTCGAGAAGTCGTTTTATAAAACTCAAGAAATCGTTTTATAAAACACGAGAATACGTTTTATAAAACTCGAGAAATCGTTTTATAAAACTCAAGAAATCGCTTTATAAAACTCGAGAAATCGTTTTATAAAACTCGAGATATCGTTTTATAAATCCAAAAGAGATTTCCGAACAAAGAAAATCCGCGGACAACTCGGAAGATCGTTATCTCGGAAAAACGAAACAAATGTCGATTACACGATCGTCCGAGTTAAGCACAAAACCGCGAAAAACCGAAACCGCCGTAAAACGCGAGCTAGTCCCGACACGACTAGCTCGCAGTTGGGCGAGTTAGAAGCTTCCCGGGGAGCTCGCCAAGCGGCGAGCTGAACCGGTCCGGTTTGGCTCGCCGTACGTCAAACCGACCATCCCGAGCCTCGATCTCCCACATCCCCGATTCAAGGCTTACGTCCTTCGACATGATCATGTTCCGAACCACGGTCGAAATGTCTCCCGTTTCGTCTCGATCCGTCCTATCGTTCGAGTTTTACGATAAAAACCGTAAAACTTTGTTTTCTCGAAAAGAACTCGAGGAAATCGTATAAAATGGCATCGGTTAAACGACACACCGACTATTGCCTAAACTATACGATTTATTCGAAATTTTTCATAAAAATTGTAAAAAACGCGTTTTTAATAAAAAAACGTTGAGTGAATCGTAAATACGGCAACGATTAACCGAAAAACGAACATAGCTAAACTTTACGATTAACTCGGGGAATTTACTAAAAACGGCATCGGATCAGGAAACGACCTCGTCTAAAAGTCGTAAAACGGTTTTGTCGCAAAACGGTTCGAAAGTTCCTAAAAAGCTTTAAAAGCCTATCTCGCAACTTTAACGAAGTCTAACCCGAAGATGCGACGACGTTTTGACGATTTACTCGCAGAAAGAAGATAAATGTCAAACTTGAAGATAAATGTCAAGTTTGAGGGTAAATAGAAGATTTCCGCGGAAAAGAGGAAAGATTGAGATAAGAAGATTCCTGATAAACTCGAATCTGGGCGAAATGGAAAGACTAAACCGCCTAGAAGGGAGTATATAAGCAAGAGGCATAGGGCAGAAGCAAGGGGACGAATTTCAAAGCTCTCATCTGAGACTTTTACAACTTTTCTAGACTTAGAATTTTCCGCACTTAGAAACTTAGCTCCAGCTCTATCAACTGAACTACGTTCGACTTGATCCTCGAAAGGGGTACGTAGGCAGCCTTTCATAAGGTTCAGTCCAAAATCAATCAAATCATTTTTTCTTATATTTTTCCGTCTTTTGTTATCGAGCTGCGACTCGCTTAGGTTTAAGGTTTTTATGTTGATAACTCGCCGACGGCTCTGCGGCCAAAGCCTTTGTAAACCATTGTAATGATCGCAACGCTCTTACGCGAAATCGAAATAAGATCTACTTTTTCTATAAATTCGTTTTATTACGTTTTTCATATTTTTCTGCATTTATTTGGTTACTTGCTGTTGGCTTTCGCAGAGATCCGGTTCCTCTGGAAAATTAGGGTTTTCCTAAATTTTTTTATTTGACGGAAATCGACAGTAGGTGAATTTCGGTTCCCACAGTTTGGCGCTAGAAGGAGGGGGGGGGGTCGGATTACTCTTACTCATAGCCGCAAAACGCTTGATCAAAACGA